TAAGGGTCGGATTATCGAGTCATGACTGTATTTCATAAATCTGCTGATTATTCTCTTCAGTAATTGCAGCTTTTGTCGAAAAAACTTCTTCTGGAGCGTCTCATCTGTTTGTGTCTTTCTGCACTTTATTCATTACCGAAGCAGCAAAACACCTTCATACTGAGTCAAACAAAGTGTCTTTTGACTTTAATCATGTTGTTGTATGTCTGCATTTCTTTCATGGCGACATCTCATTATCAGGTGTGATATTACTTTACTACCTCAGTATCATTGCCAGTGTCACTTTTTAGGAGTATTTTTTGTGTGCGGACACCAGGATGCACGTTACTTAATTATTGTTATTTTCTTGAACTTTCTTTCTATATTTTTGATGCTGCTGTGGCGTGTCAAGTTCCCCCAATAAAAGCTCTTCTATTCTATGTGAACCTGCCATGTCAGGAGCGACTCCAGACCGGTGACTTTACATCCTGTAACTCCTCATTAGTCAGTCAAAACTGAAGAAACCTCTTGGATTAGAAGTGAAACGTCTTCAAGAACCTACAGGAGAAGTCCGGTTGATTTCTACTGAAGCTCCTACGAGCAGCCGACTGTTCTCTCTTCAGATGTTCATGCACCGCGCTGTGGACTCGTATTTATGATGACTAAAGGAAATGTGTGGTCTGAACAGCGCTCACCTGAGCAGCTCCCGACAGCGTACACGTCAACGTAGGGGTCGAACTCTCCGGGCCCCAGAGGTTTGCAGGACGACATGTAACCGGCGATTCCCTCCGGGGAGGTTCCGTAAGAACCCACCGTGGCTCCGTTCTCCGCCTCCGGGTCCTCCTCGTTGGACACCTCCTCGCACTCGTCCTCCTCCCGCTCCGCTCGGCCGACGTCGTGGATGCCGAGCAGCAGGCTGTAGTCCATGATCTTCAGCCTCACCAGGAACTGAGGGGACAGAGACGTTTGCAGCTTAACAAGAACATTAAAACATAATCACATGAACGCAGCTTCCTCAGCGTCAACATCCTCTGTGACGGTAAACTGAACAGCTTTGGTCAGAACAGGAGATTTGAGGAAACACTGATCCACAGTTTTCTGACCAAACAGCTCCTCAAACAATCCAGGAAATAATCAACCGTGAAAATAACCGTTAACTGCAGCCCGAACGCAGAGAGTAACGTTTATAGAACGGCATAAAAACAGTGTTGTACAAACGTCATAAAGGGCAAAGAAAAACACTCCTGAACTAAACATCTGTCTATTTATTCTTCATCCCATCAGCTCTGGTTTATCCTGAAACATCTAGCAGATGATGCAGCAGCAGCAGCAGCAGCAGCGCTGTGTGTCAGCGTGCCAATGCTGCCGCTGTGTGGCCAAGTCGAGCAACAACAACAACACCTAACAGCTCACAAACCTCCACGTCTTTGTTCAGCTTCTCCATGAACTTCTCCTTCTGCTCATCCGTCACGTAAACCTTCTGCATGTTGTTCCTGAAGTCCATGTCCTTGAAGGTGGGAAGCTCTTTTCCCTTTAAAAACACAAACAAATCTTCAGCAGGAAAGTTGTGCTAAAGGATAAGACAGGTAGAAAATAATGACGTTTCTTTTTTTACCCGTTCTTTGTCGCTTGCTTCTCGAGCCACCAGAGAACCCTGCAGGAAGAAATTACCCCGATATTATATGTGACACAAAAAGAGCATCAAACATTGGCCGAGAGAGAAAAAGATGCAAATACATTTTTCAAAATTATTTTAAAATTTAAATTGGTTGTTTAAAATCCTACGATCAATAACGTTAGAGCATCTTTAAACTTGTTATAACAATCATAAAGTTGTGTTACTGGAAAGCTGAACTCTTGAATCGGCTGTACAGTCGTGACTCGATAATCGACCCTTAACAATCCTAAACTTTGCTATCTGACAGGTTTTTAGGAAAAATGACCTCCGTCTTGACAATCCGACAGCCTTGCTATCCGACATAAAAAGAAGGTTTTACATTTAGTGTCAGATTATCGAGTCACGACTGTACATTTACAAAAACATTTCCTATTTATTTTTAGTATCCTGTACATGTTTTATGTTTGGGACCTTCTTTGCTTGAACACGTTTCGTCTAATTTGACGGTTGTTTTGATGTAAAGCACTTTATAACCACAAATAAAGGTACTGCTGTTGTTAAGCTGGAGAAACCTGATATCTGCGTGACTTCCTCCCCGTTTTGGGAAGTAGGATTATGTGAACAAAGGTGGGACTGTTTGCCACTTCCTCCTCACCTTCAGGTCGTACTTCCTGTGCACCACCAGTCTGTGGCTGAACATGTTCCTCATGACGATCAGGTAGGTCTCCTCGCTGTCCACGCTCACCCGGTACATTCCCAGGAACTGAGGCAGCAGCGTGCTGCCGTGACACTTGACGATGTGCTGCGAGGGGAAGAAGGAACCGTCAGTTTGGAAGTGCAGAGAGAGCTTTATTGTGAAGGACAGAAATACAAAAAACATAGTCAGTGACATACAAAAGGGGTGAGAGCGTGATGCAATGAGAGCAACACGCAGGGCAGAGAACGACGTCTGATCTCTTAGATAATGTATATCAATATATACACAAGAAGCATTTAGAGCAGTGGTTCTCAAACTGGGGGTCAGGACCCCCATGGGGGTCCCAAGATAATTTCAGGGGGTCTTCAGATCATTGTTAAAAAAAATAAAATAAATAAAGCCTACATTGTAGTGCAGGTATTAGACAATTTTGTGTCATTAATGAGCTGAACTGTCAGAGCACGGTTTAGCTCCTGGATGGTGGACAGACCGTCAACATGTCTGTGAAGATTCTCCGTCATCCAGGTCGTGGTTGTTCTCGTAGATTAATCGTAGCAACTGGACCTGCTTGAGTTCCTTGAAGACGTTCCACCTCTCATCCAAGAGGCTTCATCAGCTCTGACTGACTAGTTGACTGATATCCTTAAGGAACCATTAACACCTGAGTTTGGGTTTCATTTGGGGGTTTGTTGCTCCTCCCCCTCGTTATGTGGGTCGTTAGTGCTCCTCCTGCCACAATGGGGTTCGAACCCCGTCTTCAAGGAACTCAAGCAAGTCCAGTTGCTGCGATTAATCAACGAGAAAACTTTGTCAACAGCTCAATACGACAGGACAAGACAGGAAAAATAAAATCTGTTTTTTTTTTCCCCCTCAAGCTCCTAAAACCACCGTCTGCTCCTGATTTTACATTTCCAGTTGATATTTTGTGAACATTCGGTTCTTCGCCCTTTACAGGCGACTACCCGTGACATTAAGCGTGATCGCTCCACGCACAGCAAAACAATGAGTCTGTGTTGCTTTATTTAGCAGAACTCGGCGCATCTTCCTGGTATTTCTCACCATATCCTGGCCCAGGGCGGTTTAACAGACAAAGGTGTCTATTGTGATCAGGAAAACTGGTTCTATTCTCAAGAGTTAACATTTAGAGGATCTTCCTTTGGTGCTGGAAAAAACCTCCAAAACTTCCTCTATGCAAGAGAAACCCACCCACAGACCGTCACTATCGGAGCAGTGAACAACACTGTGATAAACCTCCTCCTCTGTGTTTCCAAAGCGCTCCACCCATTCAGCATTCTGGATACAGACAGCTTTCTCCACTCTGAGCTTTCTCCAACCTTTACTTGACAAAATCTCACATCACCGTCGGTTTCTAGCAAACTTCACAAACAGCTCAGTTGTATTTGGAGTCAACGCTGCTCCCTTTATTCACAACCAACCAACCTTTGTGGATTCTGAACCAACACCAGGAGTCAGACTTGATTTAAATCATGAGATCGCCAAAGATCGGCGCCCCTGACATCCCACTTCAAAGGTCACTTTGAAAGTAAACCAATTACTGCGTGAATCCGGGTCGGGCTTTTAGCTGCGCTCAGCACTCCCCTCAGCAGCCGGTTAAAATAGACGCGTCCGACTGACCTCGTTCAGCGTCCCCTGGAACGCTCTGTTAAAAAGACATCGCCGCTAATGGCCAAACGCTGGTCTCGCTGCTGGTGCAATGACTTTTTTTCAGCTCTAACCGCCGGGCAGCGTTAGGAACACTGGAGCCGGGTTCACACGGCGCCGCGGGTTCATCCAGGAGTCCCCGAAAAACAGCTGCAAACATCAGACAGTCGACCAATTAACACGTCTTCGTTATGAGAAACTGCTACTGGTTGGATGGGACATCGAAGATCATCTACCAGTGTAAAGCACCAACTAAACTGAGTAAAGCTTTAACTGGACAATTACTGTCATTAAGTCGACTGAATGTAAAGAAAAAAGAAAACGTCCTCATGATGCTCGTTTTATTTGACCAACAGTCCAAGATAATTAGTCTACGATCGTGAAGCAGGAAAAAGCAGCAAATCGTCACGACTAAGTGGCTCCAACAAGGACCGATTTATCATCTTTGTATGAAAATAACATTAATTATTAATTAGTGGTCGATCATTCTTTCTGGCTGATTCATGCATTGATTAATCGTGGTGAAGTTGGAATAACCAGGACGCCAACAGTATAAACAAACATAATAAATGCCGATAACGATGCATCTAATGTCAATAATGCAGCAAGAAACATGACAAAGTGCAGGCAGCGAGCGCTTCATGAGGACTAAATCTGGCTCGGGCCACTGATTAAACTGCCCCGACAACTTCTGGTCTGAACTTGTTTGGCTGTTTGGTGTGAGGAGTTGACAGATCAGGTTATTTATGAGATCAAATCTAACTGGTTTGGTAAACGGTCTGCACTTATATAGCGCTTTTATCCAAAGTGCTTTCATTCTTACACCAACAGAGCTGCCATGCAAGGTGCTGCCTGCCATCGGGAGAAACTTCAGGTTCAGCGTCTTGCCCAAGGACACTTCGACTGTGGATGGGACAGGGGATCGAACCACCACCACCTTGTGATTGGAGGACAACCTGCTCTACCACCTGAGCCACAGTTCACCTCCAGTTCCCACTGAAGAACAAACAACCAGTCCTGACCTCACATCCCCAAACATTTTCTTATCTACGCTCATTGTTCTGCTTTAGTTTTTTCCAGCTATAAAGTTTTATCAGAGCAAGTTGCAGCACCAGAGTCTCCATTTTGTTTGGATCTGTTTTCACATGAGGTGGTTTTCTGCTCCCTGATGCTACGTGTCCACTGCATCCGCCTATTTATCGCTTCCCATTCATTGTGTAGTGAAACGCCCCGCATAGACTTGACATGAAGTAGACTTGACTGCTACTTCTGGTGCAAACAAACAAACAAAAAAAATGCTTTGAAAGCTGCCTAAACTCAGACATTCATGGAACCACACTACGTAAATACATAAGAATGAAAAACAGATGATATGTATATCTATACATATACAGCATACTGACCACTTCAACAACAATTACATCCTGTTACATCCTGTATATATTGCATCTTTCACGTCAGCTGGAGTAAATATTCACCCTCTGGTGGGTTTCAGGTGTGATCTAGTCCACATAACAGTCGCCCTTTAGGAGGTGGGATTTCATTTAAACACTTTTCTCCACTTTCATCGACCCTCTTCCTCCACAATCCTACAGCAGCGCCACCTGGACGTCCTCCAAGATCTCCAGCAGCACTGAACACTTTAAAAAGTGCTGAAATTTAAACAACAGGATCCCCACAAATCATTCTGTCCGTCACCTCTTCTGAGTCTCGGACACACAACTCCTGTGCAGGTGTGTCACATTCAAGAAACTTCAGGTTTTAGTGCCGCTGACGCCTCATGAAACCTAAAATGAGGACCGATTCAGCAGCTGTGTAGTTTATTTCTCGCCTCAAATGTTTTCAGTGATACTTGCTGAACAGTTTTTGTAATAAAACCGAAAGTTTGCCGCCGTCATGTTGCCTCTACAGGACTGAAGATAAAGCTAGTGCACGCTCATCATCGCTCCTGATGACTGAAAACCTGAACAACATCCTGCAGTGTGTGATGTTTTCTAATNGACCTTCTTTGCTTGAACACGTTTCGTCTAATTTGACGGTTGTTTTGATGTAAAGCACGTTTTAACCACAAATAAAGGTACTGCTGTTGTTAAGCTGGAGAAACCTGATATCTGCGTGACTTCCTCCCCGTTTTGGGAAGTAGGATTATGTGAACAAAGGTGGGACTGTTTGCCACTTCCTCCTCACCTTCAGGTCGTACTTCCTGTGCACCACCAGTCTGTGGCTGAACATGTTCCTCATGACGATCAGGTAGGTCTCCTCGCTGTCCACGCTCACCCGGTACATTCCCAGGAACTGAGGCAGCAGCGTGCTGCCATGACACTTGACGATGTGCTGCAGGGGGAAGAAGAAACCATCAGTTTGGAAGTGCAGAGAGAGCTTTATTGTGAAGGACAGAAATACAAAAAACAAAGTCAGTGACATACAAAAGGGGTGAGAGCGTGATGCAATAAGAGCAACACGGCAAAGAACAACGTCTGGTCTCTTTGATAATGTATATCAATATATACACAAGAAGCATTTAGAGCAGTGGTTCTCAAACTGGGGGTCCCAAGATAATTTCAGGGGGTCTTCAGATCATTGTTAAAAAAAATAAAATAAATAAAGCCTACATTGTAGTGTAGTCACTAGACACTTTTGTGTCATTAATGAGCTGAACTGTCAGAGCACAGCTTAGCTCCTGGATGGTGGACAGACTGTCGACATGTCTGTGAAGATTCTCCGTCATCCAGGTCGTGGTTGTTCTCGTAGATTAATCGTAGCAACTGCTTGAGTTCCTTGAAGACGTTCCACCTCTCATCCAAGAGGCTTCATCAGCTCTGACTGACTAGTTGGGAGTTCCACATACTGATATCCTGAAGGAGCCATTAACACCTGAGTTTGGGTTTCATTTGGGGGTTTGTTGCTCCTCCCCCTCGTTATTTGGGTCGTTAGTGCTCCTCCTGCCACAATGGGGTTTGAACCCCGTCTTCAAGGAACTCAAGCAAGTCCAGTTGCTGCGATTATTCAACGAGAAAACTTTGTCAACAGCTCAACACAAGAGGACAAGACAGAGAAAATAAAATAATATTTTTTCCTCAAGCTCCTAAAACCACCGTCTGCTCCTGATTTTACATTTCCAGTTTATATTTTGTGAACGTTTGGTTCTTCGCCCTTTACAGGCGACTACCCGTGACATTGAGCGTGATCGCTCCACGCACAGCAAAACAATGAGTCTGTGTTGCTTTATTTAGCAGAACTCGGCGCATCTTCCTGGTATTTCTCACCATATCCTGGCCCAGGGCGGTTTAACAGACAAAGGTGTCTATTGTGATCAGGAAAACTGGTTCTATTCTCAAGAGTTAACATTTAGCGGATCTTCCTTTGGTGCTGGAAAAAACCTCCAAAACTTCCTCTATGCAAGAGAAACCCACCCACAGACCGTCACTACTGGAGCAGCAAACAACCCTCTGATAAACCTCCTCCTCTGTGTTTCCAAAGCGCTCCACCCATTCAGCATTCTGGATACAGACAGCATTCTCCACTCCGAGCTTCCTCCAACCTTTACTTGACAAAAACTCACATCACCGTCTGTTTCTAGCAAACTTCACAAACAGCTCAGTTGTATTTGGAGCTGCTCCCCTTATTCATAACCAACCAACGGTCGCTTTGTGGATTCTGAACCAACACCAGGAGTCAGACTTGATTTAAATCATGAGATCGCCAAAGATCGGCGCCCCTGACATCGCACTTCAAAAGGTCACTTTGAAAGTAAACCAATTACTGCGTGAATCCGGGTCGGGCTTTTAGCTGCGCTCAGCACTCCCCTCAGCAGCCGGTTAAAATAGACGCGTCCGACTGACCTCGTTCAGCGTCCCCTGGAACGCTCTGTTAAAAAGACATCGCCGCTAATGGCCAAACGCTGTTCTCCCTGCTGGTGCAATGACTTCTTTTCAGCTCTAACCGCCGGGCAGCGTTAGGAACACTGGAGCCGGGTTCACACGGCGCCGCGGGTTTATCCAGGAGTCCCCGAAAAACAGCTGCAAACATCGGACAGTCGACCAATTAACACGTCTTCGTTATGAGAAACTGCTACTGGTTGGATGGGACATCGAAGATCATCTTCCAGTGTAAAGCAACAACTAAACTGAGTAAAGCTTTAACTGGACAATTACTGTCATTAAGTCGACTGAATGTAAAGAAAAAAGAAAACGTCCTCATGATGCTCGTTTTATTTGACCAACAGTCCAAGATACTTAGTCTACGATCGTGAAGCAGGAAAAAGCATCAAATCCTGACAACTAAGTGGCTCCAACAAGGACCGATTTATCATCTTTGTATGAAAATAACATTAATTATTAATTACAAAAGTGGCCGATAATTCGTTCTGGCTGATTCATGCGTTGATTAATCGTGGTGAAGTTGGAATAACCAGAACGCCAACAGTATAAACAAACATAATAAATGCCGATAACGATGCACCTAATGTCAATAATGCAGCAAGAAACATGACAAAG